TGCTGGCAGCCCGCTGGCCCAGGTCCCCCCGGGCTCCTTACCCCGGCAGGTGCGCCAGAGGCCCGAGTGCGAGCTCAGAGGCTCGAGCTCGCTGCGATTGGCGCCCCCCACGCTGTCCTGCGCCCCCAGGCCGCCGCGTTCCAGCCGCTCCGTGTCGATGATGTACCAGAAGTCCGTGCCGATGGCGACCGCCAGGAGCACGAAGCTGAGCGCCCCGGCCAGCGCCGCCGCGCCCGCCAGCGCGCTCAGAGACACCCGCATCGCCCGGCGCCCAGCTCCACCGCCCGTGCAGCTCGGCCGGGGTCTGGAGCCCTCTCTCCGCCCCTGGCTCCGCCCCTTAGAGCCTCACCTGCGGCCTCGCACCTGCACGCCCTCCTCCCTGAAACCCCCTCACCTGCGCCCTCAGGCGCCACCCCAGCCGAAATCCCACCGCAGCCCTCCACTCCCAGCCCAAGCGCACCCTCTCGTCTCACTCCTCACTTCTCCCTCCAAGCCCCTCCGTTACTCTCCACGAACCCCTAGCTGTTGCCCGCTCTGTCCTGCCTCTCCCTTTCCGCCCCAACCCTTCTTTGCTCTCCCCACACCACCTCCTCAACCCCCCACTTCCAGTCTGATGTTCCAGGAGTCCCCCCAGGCCTGTCCTATCACAGTTCCTCCTCCCCGATGGGTCCGTGTACCCCCCCACCCAGGTGCCCAGCCTGGCAACGCCTGGAGACTGGGTTGTGTGGAGGCAGGAAGGGAGGAGACGTTCCCACAAACTGGGGAGTAAGAAGGGGCGCTGCAGGCAGGACAGTCCCACCTGGGGCTTGCAGATAATCTTGAATTAGCCCCTCTCTGTCCAGCTCCAATTACCCTTCCTCTAAAGTTCACCCTCATTTGATTTTTCTAGGCTAGCTACAGAGGGAAAAGGCAGATTCTTTTTTTTTTTTTTTAAGATTTTATTGGGGGGTTGGGGGAGGGGAACAGCGTTGGGGAATCGTGGAAGGGGAACCGACAAGTTGCTGTCCTTTTGTTCTTCAGTCCAGTTGCGGAGGACGTCGGTTCACTGGCCCATTACGTATTGGTATTATGACCATTACGCTCTTCCGGGCTGAGGCAGTTGGTTGCTGGCCATTTGACAGCCGCTCCCAGCAGCTCTTGCCCGTTGCTCACGCTGGCTGCCGGCCACTCACAGTAGCTTATGGCAGCCCACTGCAGCCCCACTGTAGCCTATGCCTTCACCAGCGACTCACAGCAGCCCAGCTCCAGGTCTAGCTGTTGTTCACCATCTTAGCTGTAAAGGGCGCAGCATCACTGGCCCACGTGGGAACTAAACCAGCAGCCCTGCTGCTCAGAGCTCGTGCTCCCAAGCCAACTCTTAACCAACTGAGCCATTCGGCCAGCCCCAGATTCATTTTTTATAAAAGCTCTTTAAAGCAATGGTCTAGGCCAGGTCCTCTTAGACTATGGTTTCTACCACCAAAGTCTTCATCACCATCACCACCACCACCACCATCACCATCACCCTTATCAATTCCACTATCCTCTTCACCACCACCATAAAACCTTTCCTTCTTTCCAGAAACACTTCTTGAGCGTCCACGGTGTGCCAGACACTGTAGTGTGTAGTAAGAACATAGGTATAAACAACCCAAACACTGCCCCTGCCCTGAGAAAGTGCACAGTGTGGGCCTTCTCGCCTTTTTGAAGCAAGGCACACAGCGTAAACAATCGTATTTGTATGGCATATGGGGTAACTGGAAGAAGCTTCTAGATGCTTGAAATGATCAGCCTCACAGGGTGCAGCTACCAAAGGCCCTTGGAGGCTGGCTGCCCTTATGGCCAAGAGATAAAAATCTTGAAGCTTCTGTGACACCATCTTAAGGAAACATTGTGCCAAGACCCAAAAATTGATGAACTGGAGAGAGAATTCTTGAACAAAGTGGCTTAGTACAGGGAGCTGTGCAAGACAGTAACAAATGCGGGGGCGGGAGGGTCTCATTTAGAGTCAGGATCCAGGAAGTGACCTTGATACTGAAACGTGCAGGATGTGAAGGCACTTCCTGCCTAGCTGACGGCTTATATGAAGGGTTTGGTACATTCTAGCATAACTGAAGGAAGAGCAATCAGGCTAGAACAGGGGTCGGCAAACTTTTGAGACGGAACGTCCCTGAAGAGCCGCATGGGGCTCGTGAGCCACAGTTTGCCGACCCCTGGGCTAGACCATAGCGATCGTTGAGCAAGTAGAGGGAAATGAGATTGGGGGTACAGGTAGGGGCCAGGTGATGCAGGTACTTGAGGTCACGATCTAGAGTTTGGATTCTAGTCTAAGCCACTGAATGGTTTTGAGCAGAGACGTGAAATGCTCTAATTTACATTTTTAAAACCCCAGCCTCCGTACTGGCTTTAGTGTAGAGCGTAGACTGTAGGGAGACAGGAAGGGAAGCATGGAGGCTGTTTAGGAAGACGTCGCAGTGGAAGCAGGAACGGGGCTTGGGCTAGGGCGGTGTCAGCCGTAGGCAGGGAGTCAAGTGAACAGACTTTTCTTTCTTACTGGAGGGGGTAGAATTGATAGGACTTGATGATAGACGGGGGTTGAGAATTATTCCTTCCCTAATTACTTTACTCTCCCTTACCGACATCATCCTAGTCTTCATCATCTCATCCTCATCTTCATTATCAGAAGCATCAACGGTGCCCTGAACAGAGCGATCACCAGCAAGAACACACCGTCCCCTTCATTCTGCCCACCATTCTACCCCATCCCCGCTTCAACCACCGTCTGGACTAAGATTGGTCTTTCCTATAAGCATCACCACTGATGGCTTTGCTTTCAACCCCATCGCACTATGCGCTGTCATCTTCACTTGCATCATCTTCAAAACAGTCCTCGAATGTTCCATCAACATTAGGGCACCTAGATGAAGGCACAATGCACTGAGGCTGGTCCCAGGACCCCCAATAATGTCTCTAATCTCCCCCCCCTTTCTCTCCATCTCTCAGTTGCTGTCCCCTCTCTTAGCTTCATTCTTCAAGCAGACGCTCAGTTTTTGGACCCCAGGGGCTACATTTCATGGCCAACAAAAGGAAGGAATCTCGTTTTCAATAGTGCTAGTCAGGTTTCCAGAATTGATGCTCATCTGCCTGTATTTTGGTCATATTCCCATCTCTGAACCAATCTCTGTGGCTTAGAGGGATAGAATATGATGACCAGCCAAGCCTGGATCACCTGCCCACTTCTGAAACTCAATCCCACCTTAACCCTTTAAGCGAACTGGTGTCATGGCTGCCAGGTGGGGCAATAAAAAAATACAGGACTCCCAGTTAAATTTGAATTTCAGATAAACAATGAGTAATTTTTTTAGTATAAGTATGTCCCATCAATATTTGGGATATACTTATACTAAGAAAAAACAAATGGTTATTTTTGTTGTTGCTGTTTAATCTGAAGTTCAAATTTAACTGAGTGTCCTGTATTTTGTCTGGAAAACCTAGCTGGGTCTCTCAAAGAAAACCAAGGTGTCCTTACCAGAACCAGGAGAAGGGACAGTGATGGCAGACAAAAACAGCAGATGCCACCTACATGCAGCCTGTGCATGTCCCTTCACTGGATCCACTTCCCTCATCTACGTAAGAAGACCTTCTTCCAGGCACCCTTTGCATAGATAACCTGGTAGGTTTTGATTTTTCTATTTTTCTGAGGATTTTTTTTTAAGGAACTTATTGGGGAATTGGGGAAGGGGAACAGTGTTGGGGAATTGAGGAAGGGAAACAGCCAAGTTGTTGTCCTTCGATCTTAGCTGTGGAGGGCGCAGCTAGCTCAGCTCCAAGTCCAGTCGCCATCCGGCCGCCCAACAGCAGCTCAGGGCAGCTCAGCTCAAGGTGCCGTATTCAATCTTAGTTGCAGGTGGGCATAGCCCACCACCCCATGTGGGAGCTGAACCGGCAACCTTGTTGTTAGGAGCACGTGCTCTCACCAGCTGAGCCATCCTGCCACCTGTTGGTAGCTCAGCAGCAGCTCAGCTTGGGCGCAGCTCACTGGCCCATGTGGGAATTGAACCGGTGACTCTGTTGCTCAGAACTCGGGCTCTTAAACAACTGAGCCACTCAGCCGGCCCTCTGAAAATTTTAACGGGATATACCTGAACTGTGCTCACTCACTCTAAAAAAAAGAACAGAAAGTAATGTTTTTCAATGACTCTAAGGAGGGGTGGAGCCCATCAACCATTGGATGGTATCATCACTCAGCCAGTCGACTGAAGAGGCAGGACAAAGCCTGAAGGCCCCCGAGGCAGAATCCAAACAAACCACAGCTTTTAGCATGAACGGCACACCGCTCATCCTGCTGGGTGACGGTGTGTCAGAAAACAACGTTCAACAGGGATTGTAAAGGCTGCGTTTGAGTCTTTCATCAGCATCGTACAGGCTGTGTGAGCCCAGAGAAGTTGCCTTCCTTCTCTGAGCCTCAGTTTCCTCGGCTGTAAAATGCGGGTTCTCAGACTTCTCAACCCCAGAGGGGCACTATGAGGATGGGATGGGATGGTGGGTGTAA